GAAGCAAAATCTTTTTGGGTGATAAAGAAAAATAACGACATGAACGTCTACGTCCGGAGTGGGAGGGCCGAGGCTGTTATACCCTTGTTGCTTTAGTAGTCTTGCCGTTAAGTAGTGTTCACATTTCTTCTTGTTTTTTTCTTTTTAGTTTGAATGGAAATTTTGTTCAAAAGTAAAACTAACAACTAACCAGGAAAATAGCACGTTGTAAATAGATAATTCACTCGCAAAAACTGATACACAAAATCGTTTTATTCAACAGCAATCAAGAGCAAGATTACAAAGCGTTATGATACTGAATTAATTAAGACCCACCACACAGAATGAGTGTTCATGGTTGTATTTAGTTCAGATCATATATAGCATTATTTTTTTATATTTTCTTCCAGTGGCCTTGGCCTACAGGTCAGTTTTTTTGGAACTCTTTACAATATTATGTCTTGTAAATGAAAACAGATGTCAGCAAGTTTTGAAGTAATGGCAAAGCAAGGAAATATTTTCCATAGGAGATTGTGTCAGAAAAAACAGTTGATAGCTTCACAATCGTTACAACCTATCAAGTGTTGTTAATTGCTAATTCCTATAGATTTAAATTCAGATTAGCTTCAGATTTAAAATGGTAATCAGAAAATTTGTGATTCACCATCCCATTGCTGTTGGTATTTTTGGAATCTGAAATGAAGACCAACAACAAGAAAAAATCATGCCATTTTTTTTCATAATTTATGCATGAAGCTAAAAAGGCAAACATGCGGTTATTTGCTGTACTTGTCTCTGAGAAAGGAAGTCTATAGTCCTCTTTGCGCATGCTTGAATGATATACGTACACTGACTAACTAGCTGAGTTGATTGAATGACCGCCTCACTCACTGACTAACTAGCTCCCTGATTGACCGAGTGACTGACAAACTAACTCACTGAGTTGATTGAATGACCGCCTCACTCACTGACTAACTCCCCCCGTAATTGACCGAGTGACTGACGAACTAACTCACTGAGTTGATTGAATGATCGCCTCACTCACTGACTAACTAGCTCCCTGATTGACCGAGTGACTGACGAACTAACTCACTGAGTTAATTGAATGACCGCCTCACTCACTGACTAACTAGCTCCCTGATTGACCGAGTGACTGACGAACTAACTCATTGAGTAATTGATTGAATGACCGCCTCACTCCCCGACTAACTATCTCCCTGATTGACCGAGTGACTGACGAACTAACTCACTGAGTTGATTGAATGACCGCCTCACTCACTGACTAACTAGCTCCCTCCCCGACTGAGTGACTGACGAACTAACTCACTGAGTTGATTGAATGACCGCCTCACTCACTGAATAACTAGCTCCCTAATTGACCGAGTGACTGACGAACTAACTCCCCGAGTAATTGATTGAATGACCGCCTCACTCACTGACTAACTAGCTCCCTCCCCGACCGAGTGACTGACGAACTAACTCACCGAGTAATTGATTGAATGACCGCCTCACTCACTGACTAACTAGCTCCCTGATTGACCGAGTGACTGACGAACTAACTCACTGAGTAATTGATTGAATGACCGCCTCACTCACTGAATAACTATCTCCCTGATTGACCGAGTGACTGACGAACTAACTCCCCGAGTTGATTGAATGACCGCCTCACTCACTGACTAACTAGCTCCCTCCCCGACGTAGTGACTGACGAACTAACTCACTGAGTAATTGATTGAATGACCGCCTCACTCACTGAATAACTATCTCCCTGATTGACCGAGTGACTGACGAACTAACTCACTGAGTTGATTGAATGACCGCCTTACTCACTGACTAACTAGCTCCCTCCCCGAGTAATTGATTGAATGACCGCCTCACTCACTGACTAACTAGCTCCCTGATTGACCGAGTGACTGACGAACTAACTCATTGAGTAATTGATTGAATGACCGCCTCACTCCCCGACTAACTATCTCCCTGATTGACCGAGTGACTGACGAACTAACTCACTGAGTTGATTGAATGACCGCCTCACTCACTGACTAACTAGCTCCCTCCCCGACTGAGTGACTGACGAACTAACTCACTGAGTTGATTGAATGACCGCCTCACTCACTGAATAACTAGCTCCCTAATTGACCGAGTGACTGACGAACTAACTCCCCGAGTAATTGATTGAATGACCGCCTCACTCACTGACTAACTAGCTCCCTGATTGACCGAGTGACTGACGAACTAACTCACTGAGTAATTGATTGAATGACCGCCTCACTCACTGACTAACTAGCTCCCTGATTGACCGAGTGACTGACGAACTAACTCACTGAGTAATTGATTGAATGACCGCCTCACTCACTGACTAACTAGCTCCCTGATTGACCGAGTGACTGACGAACTAACTCCCCGAGTAATTGATTGAATGACCGCCTCACTCACTGACTAACTAGCTCCCTGATTGACCGAGTGACTGACGAACTAACTCCCCAAGTAATTGATTGAATGACTGCCTCACTCACTGACTAACTAGCTCCCTGATTGACCGAGTGACTGACGAACTAACTCACTGAGTTGATTGAATGACCGTCGGGGAGGGAGCTAGTTAGTCGGTGAGTGAGGCGGTCATTCAATCAACTCAGGCCAAGTTCGGGCAAGGACCATTAGTCGACTAGTGGTTGATTTGTGACGTACCTTACGCCTGCGCACTGATAGCAACGTGCGAACGTCTGTAGTCAAACGCTGGTCAAAATGTCATCGCAAAACTTCTGGATCCTGGCTCTCTGCTAGCGTTATGAATGCGCGCGGGTATTGGTTACCAGCGAAGCAACCAACCCCAGTAGGCTGGTTCCAAATAGTCGTAGCGTAGCCAACCACCGTTGACTAGACAGAGTTCGGGCAAACGTTAGTTAACCATTGGTCAACTATAGTCCTTGCGCGAACTTGGCCTATGTGAGTTAATAGTTCGTCAGTCACTCGGTCAATTAGGGAGCTAGTTAGTCAGTGAGTGAGGCGGTCATTCAATCAACTCAGTGAGTTAGTTCGTCAGTCACTCGGTCAATCAGGGAGATAGTTATTCAGTGAGTGAGGCGGTCATTCAATCAATTACTCAGTGAGTTAGTTCGTCAGTCACTCGGTCAATTAGGGAGCTAGTTAGTCAGTGAGTGAGCGGTCATTCAATCAATTACTCGGTGAGTTAGTTCGTCAGTCACTCGGTCGGGGAGGGAGCTAGTTAGTCAGTGAGTGAGGCGGTCATTCAATCAACTCAGTGAGTTAGTTCGTCAGTCACTCGGTCAATTAGGGAGCTAGTTAGTCAGTGAGTGAGGCGGTCATTCAATCAACTCGGGGAGTTAGTTCGTCAGTCACTCGGTCAATTGGGGAGCTAGTTAGTCAGTGAGTGAGGCGGTCATTCAATCAACTCGGGGAGTTAGTTAGTCAGTCACTCAGTCAATTAGGGAGCTAGTTAGTCAGTGAGTGAGGCGGTCATTCAATCACTCAGTGAGTAAGTTCGATTGACCGAGTTACTGTTCTGAAGTCTCACCAAGGCCACGTGCATGAACAGTTTCCCACTATTCAAGTTCTGAATCCATTGAATAGACTTTACTAAGCGTTCCTTGTCTCTGGTTGAAGTTAGTAAAAGACGACTTTAAATTTACTTAACGCTCTGTGTAAGACACCTCGCGAACAGGGCTGAGTAGGTCATTTGGAACAGTATCTGTCTGTTATTTCGAAGCTAGCGTGTTCGATTCCGCAAACACTATAATGTCTGACCTATGCTCCTCAATGTCTGTCCTATTTTTGAAGGTAAATGAAAACCGAATTAAAATTCTCAAAAGGTTCAACGCGTCCTCATCTCACATCGGAGCTTTTTTTGCCAGCTGACGCAGGTCAGCTTTTTCGTGTGTGCATGACCCATGCACACCAAAGTCTCCCACAGTAAGCAGCCCAGAATGCATTGCGTTTCCGTACAGATTATGGTACAATGATGCACCCCTGTATTAAAGTTCCCCTCGATACTAGTGCTAAATGCCCATACTTCAACATTCCTTTTAAAATACTGAAAACTCTCACAGGTTTTAAAGCTGAACAGAAACGTGATGATCAACATTTTATCTTTCATTTTTTTTTTATTTGTGGTGGGTTGCAAATTGACTTTTCGAGAAATTCTCACCCCAACACCCTATTTTTCCCAAAGCGGAAAAGTAGCCATCTTAAAAACCGATCCCTCCTGCCCTCCACAACACGGAAAACTAGCGCCAAATTCGAGCCCAATTGCATCAAAAATGCTCAGAATTTGAATCCCATAGTCCGGGCCAGAGGTTCATTGCCATATCTCTTCAATTCCCCTATTTTATGGCTCTCAGAACTCTCTAATATAGAATATTTTGAGGGTATAACTTTTATTCATGAGCTCGGAGGATGGGTTAGTCCTAGTCTGCTGTGCACGCACAAGCGTTTAACCCCAACTACCGGCCTTTTCATAGAGGTTTGTATAGTTTCTCTTCACTTCGATTTGAATCGGAGTAAGGCGGGCGGGTGGGGGATAGATGACTTATTCATGAAGAAACTGTTGAGGTAATTTTCCGCTGTCGTATGAAACTTGGACTCCGATGAAATCTGTTCTCTTATACGGTTCTACATCCTTGAAGGACATTGTGATATTTATTAAACAAAGTGATATTAAAATGGTTTAACACTCTGAAAAATCCCGAGTCAGATTAAATCCCGTCAAACTGACACTTTTCCGTGTCAAAGTGGCACTTTTCCGGGTCAAAGTGACACTTTTCCAGGTCGAAATTGTCAATTTGACCCGAAGTAGTATCACTTAGTCTAATATGACCCGCATTCCGCAGGACATGCATATCTGACCCGGGACGTTTTAGATAGAGTGAAGATATTTTACTGGAGATATTATGCTCGAAGATAGCGATTAGATGCTTCAAGGCACATATTTCAAGTTCTTCTACGGTTTCTGCATTAAAAAGGACATTTCAATTGCGACAAAAAAATAACAGGCTACGAAGAGATAACTTTGGTCGCAGGAGCTCATACCATGCCAACAGCATTTATTCAACAGAAATCTTAAAAGTGTGATTACAATAATTAAGACCCACCACCCAGAATGACTTTTCATGCTTTTGTTTAGTTCAGATATAGCGTGTGATTTGTTTCATCTGCCTACAGGTCAGTTTTAAGTCTTCATAATTCACTGTATAATGTCTTGTAAGCGAAAACTGATTTCAGCAAGCTGTAAAGAAAGGCCTATGTAATAACAAGACAACATGCTAAATAAATGCGATGCAAAGGAGGAAGTTGTGTCAGAGAAACTCGCAGTGGTAGCTTCACAATCGTGACACCCATCGGGTGTTGTTGTTCATTTCCAGATAAAGATTCTGATTAGGATCAGATTAAATAGTAATCGAAAAATATGTCATAAATTTACTCACGGGAGTTAGCTTTGTCAACTTTTATTCCTTGTGGGAATTTCAATTACATGTAGATGCAAAAAGTCTCATTTAACTCGAACAAGGCAAAGACAATACAACTTAATCCCTACACCGTAATAAATAATCAATTGCGACTTCATCATCCCAAGGCTGTTGGCATTTGGAATCTGAAATGAAGACCAAAACAAGAGAAAATAAAAATAATTTCATTGTTAAGCTCACACCAAACTCGTTGGATGAAAAAAAATAGGAAAAAAATAAAAACGTTTTTGGTATTTACGTCCTTAGAACTTGCTTAAAATGTCAGTGCTAGAAATCACATGCACAGAAACTAGTACAGGAATGTTAAATGTCTATAATGGTGTCAAATCTAGCCCAGGTTGGACGATTGTCTTCATTGCATTACGACTGACGTCCAGGTTCTTAGACCTCTGTGTAATACGACTCAAAAAAAAGAAAATTATTGTTTTGAGCACTTCATATCGTGGACTCCCTCTGTACGTAGGGAGGTAAGGAAGTCTACTAGGTTACATTGGTTTCAAGGTAAGTCAATTACAGCAAAATGCAGTTTTGAATGACAAATTTTCCTCTTTTTGAGGTTATTATTTCCTTAAACGGGTGCAGCTAAGTTGAACGATTATATCTGTCATTACGTGGGCTCACTAGCTTTGGCCAAACAAAAAAGTCTCCGGTTTCAGGTATGCGCCCGTGTCGCCCTTGCCATGCGCTTCGGCAAAATGAAAAAGTTTTTCTTTCCAATGTAAGATGATGTCTCAAAACTGCCAAACTCACTGGTTTGACTGGAATCCTGCTGCAGCACAATTTTAACATGTTTTTAGATGGGGTTATGATCGAGTATAAGCTTTATGTGGCCTCTAAGGGACTCCCATTGCGCTAAATTTAGTTGGGCACTATTTGCAGTCATCAGCCGACATTTGAAGAAAAAACGGGGGGAAAAAGCCGCGTCGCTGCACCACTTTTTGGGGCAAGCTTCATATCAGAAACCCGGAGACTTTTTTAGCCTAGGTTGAACGCCATTAACAAAAGTGGGGTCACTACTCGACAAGCTTTGCTTTTTAGAGACCCGCATCCATTAATATAACGACTGTCAACTTTTCGGAAGAAGCAAAAATTACCTTCAATATTTTGCCATTCTCTTGCGAGCTTATTCGCAATCTCCCCATGGCATGCAGGCCAAGCCGGGATGGCACGGTGAGTCAAAACCACAGCCTGAAAATAAAGCAGTTGGATACGAAATGTTAGTGTTACCACACGATAACACTGTGCATCAATACATTGGCAGCGTGTTTAAATGTGAACATTAAATCTGATTAATTAGCTCGAAATTAAGAATAAATCAACTGCAGAAACTTACGATCTCTTGGATATTGCTTCACAGCAACCTCGTCGGCTGAAAGGAAAGAGAGGCGGAACAATTATTTTATTGCTGATCAGTGCGTCAGTTTAGATAAAAAAAAATAACAACGCTAAATCTTACACATATAATGACAAGGATCTTTATTGGAACATGGTCGAATGTCCATTAAAATGTGTCAGTACTTTACTACTGTACTGGCCCGATTGGCGGAATGCATCGTAATGTTAAATAGATGTCGTTCAACTAAGCTGCATCGGTTAAAAGGGAATAACTTCAAAAAGAGGAAAATAATCTTAGAAACTTCGCCGATTGAGCTGAAGAGCAATGAGACGGAGAACATGTTGACTATTCACTTTTTATGTTCACTGCGTAAAAGATGCGTCCCCCGCGCTCCTCAAAAAGGAAACGGGACACAGCATTGCTTTCCAATGATTCTATTAAAAAGTGTTACATCGGTTTCGAGGTAAGTCAATTACAGTAAAATGCAGTTTTGAATGACAAATTTTCCTCTTTTTGAAATTATTATTTCCTTCAACGGGTGCAGCTAAGTTGAACGAAATATATCATTACGTGGGCTCACTAGCTAAGGCCAAAAAAGTCTCCGGTTTCAGGTATGCGCGCGCGTCGCCGTAGCCATGCGCGTCACGTCGGCAAAATGAAAAAGTTTTTTTTGCCAATGTAAGATGATGTCTCAAAACTGCCAAACTCACTGGTTTTAGCAGCACAATTTTAACGTGTTTTTAGATGGGGTTACGATCGAGTATAAGCTTTATGTGGCCTCTAGGGACTCCCATTGCACTAAATTTAGTCGGGCACCATTTGCAGTCATCAGCCGACATTTGAAGAATAAAAACGGGGGAAAAAGCCGCGTCGCCGCACCATTTCTTGGGGCAAGCTTCGTACCAGAAACCGGAGACTTTTTTTTGGCCTAAGTTGAACGACATCTATTTAACAAAAGTGGGGTCACTACTCGACAAGCTTTGCTTTTTTGAGACCCTCATCCACATTATTGTGATCTTATGATTGTCTTGACATACTGCTTTGTATTGCTATGTGGTAAATAAAGTAAGATTGATTAAAAGATTGATTGATTGATTGATTGATTGAAACAGCCCCCCCCCCCCCTTCCGGGAAATAAACATTATAACGATTGTCGATTCAACTTTTCGGACGAAATAAAAATTACCTTCAACATTTGCCATTCTCTTGAGAGCAAAGTCGCACACTCCCCATGGCATGCAGGCCAAGCCGGGATCACACGGTGGAAAATCATAACCACAGGCTGAAAATGAAGCAGTTGGATACGAAATGTTAGTGTTACCACACGATAACACTGTGCATCAATACATTGGCAGCGTGTTTAATGTGAACATTAAATCTGATTAATTAGCTCGAAATTAAGAATAAATCAACTGCAGAAACTTACGTGCTCCTTGATATTTTTTCACAGCAACCTCGTCGGCTGAAAGGAAAGAGAGGCGGAACAATTATTTTATTGCTGATCAGTGCGTCAGTTTAGATAAAAAAAAAATCACAACGCTAAATCTTACACATATAATGACAAGGATCTCTATCGGAACATGGTCGAATGTCCATTAAAATGTGTCAGTACTTTACTACTGTACTGGCCCGATTGGCGGAATGCATCGTAATGTTAAATAGATGTCGTTCAACTAAGCTGCATCGGTTAAAAGGGAATAACTTCAAAAAGAGGAAAATAATCCTAGAAACTTCGCCGATTGAGCTGAAGAGCAATGAGACGGAGAACATGTTGACTATTCACTTTTTATGTTCACTGCGTAAAAGATGCGTCCCCCGCGCTCCTCAAAAAGGAAACGGGACACAGCATTGCTTTCCAATGATTCTATTAAAAAAGTGTTACATCGGTTTCGAGGTAAGTCAATTACAGTAAATGCAGTTTTGAATGACAAATTTTCCTCTTTTTGAAATTATTATTTCCTTCAACGGGTGCAGCTAAGTTGAACGAAATATATCATTACGTGGGCTCACGAGCTAAGGCCAAAAAAAGTCTCCGGTTTCAGGTATGCGCGCGCATCGCCGTAGCCATGCGCGTCACGTCGGCAAAATGAAAAAGTTGTTTTTGCCAATGTAAGATGATGTCTCAAAACTGCCAAACTCACTGGTTTGACTGGAATGCTGCTGCAGCACAATTTTAACGTGTTTTTAGATGGGGTTACGATCGAGTATAAGCTTTATGTGGCCTCTAGGGACTCCCATTGCACTAAATTTAGTCGGGCACCATTTGCAGTCATCAGCCGACATTTGAAGAAAAAAAACGGGGGAAAAAGCCACGTCGCCGCACCACTTTTTGGGGCAAGCTTCGTACCAGAAACCGGAGACTTTTTTTGGCCTAAGTTGAACGACATCTATTTAACAAAAGTGGAGTCACTACTCGACAAGCTTTGCTTTTTTGAGACCCTCATCCACATTATTGTGATCTTATTATTGTCTTGACATACTGCTTTGTATTGCTATGTGGTATAAATAAAGTAAGATTGATTAAAAGATTGATTAATTGATTGATTGAAACAGCCCTCCCCCCTTCCGGGAAATAAACATCATAACGATTGTCGATTCAACTTTTCGGACGAAGTGAAAATTACCTTCAACATTTGCCATTCTCTTGCGAGCAAAGTCGCACACTCCCCATGGCATGCAGGTCAAGCCGGGATCGCACGGTGGAAAATCATAACCACAGGCTGAAAATAAAGCAGTTGGATATGAAATGTTAGTGTTACCACACGATAACACTGTGCATCAATACTTTGGCAGCGTGTTTAATGTGAACATTAAATCTGATTAATTAGCTCGAAATTAAGAATAAATCAACTGCAGAAACTTACGTGCTCCTTGATATTGTTTCACAGCAACCTCGTCGGCTGAAAGGAAAGAGAGGCGGAACATTGTATTAATACTCCTCGGAAAACTTAGCAATGGGAAAAACATTTTCGGGGTGAAACACAAATTAGCACGGAGAATTGATTGTGGTCCGAGGGAAGGATTGTAAATTGCAGCCACCGCTTTCTCCCAAAAATAAAAGACGGACTGAAGCTCAAAGAGAAGAAAAAAGAAGAAGGACATGTTACCTTTGTTAGTTTCAGCCGCGAAGACAGAGCCTAGGCACACCAGAACGACCAAGCAGATATAAGCCTTCATCTTGACTGCATAAAGATACGTTAACCGAGAATAATAAAAGCGGCACCCACAACAAGAACTAGAGGTTCGCGTTTGTTGAGTTACAAACACAAAGTGGTCGGGCCGGCATCTATTTCATTATGTCTTAAACTTTGCCACAATAATCAACTCAAAATCATTTTCAAACATTTTTCAACCTGCCGCTAGAGGCCGTTCTAACATGACGTCACCGGTATTTTTTTGTCTAAAGTACAAACTGGCTGGAGACTAACATCGCTGAAAGCAAATGCACATCTTTTTCCAATTTTTAAATTACAAGGCACTTCCGGTTTGGACCGGAAAGAAGGGTCAAGTGAGTTTGCAAGTCCCGTACACATCAAAATCAGATCTCTCCATAAAGCTATAATAAATTTAATATAGCTCAATGGATCTCTCACAGTTGATTTTCAAATATTAATCACGTGGTCTCAACATATATGCACACCTAAGCTACTGTATTGTAAACTCATCAAGTACAATCGTAAAAAACCCGTATCTCTAAAAGTAAAATTCGCACACCATTGGCGTAATGCAAAGTATTGCTCGCCATACCTATTCACCCCAATGTGCACGTTTAAAAAAAGCCGCCTAGTTGGGCACCCGTTAAAGTTATGTAGCGCCCTCTAATTCATATGGCATCTATTTCATGTGTCTTAAAATTTGCCACAATGAACAGTTCCATACCCAACCTCGTCACCAGGGTGTCGAGCAGAACGCGCCCACCTCTGTTCTCTCACCCTGGTATTGGATCATTTGCATGTTCAAGATTATTGAACACACATGCAAATGAGTAATAGCCTGGTGCCTGCATGTGCATTACATCAGCGTTTGTTTTTGTATGCGGTATCTGGGGTAAAACCAGCATCAATTCGTCGCGCCGGAATTTGTTTAACTTAAAATGTTACAATCTGGCCCGCCAATATGCAGTATCACATTTCATATTAATATAAGCAAACTGGAAAGAAAAGGAATGTTATTGAGAAGGCGTGGACGTTATTATTACAAAGCACCGTGAAAACACGTAATGTACGTTGGAAATAACAACACCAACTACACGATATCAATCCATTATTAGCAAATTGCTTTATCGAATCAGGACGAAGGTGGATCCATACCTGCATCGGGCATCAATGGATTTTCCTGCCATGTTGCCTAAATTGAATTCTGTATCTGCAGATGTCTAGATTTGAACTTTCTATTAAAAAACACAATATTCAAGCAACTGTGGCGACGATCTTATCCAACGTAAAGACATTTTTGACTTTATACACGTACACAATGGTAACTGAATCACCAAGAACACAGACTTGACTCAAGCTGGAATTGCCTTAAATCTGTATCTTACAAAAATAAGTTTAAACTAGAGGTTTGCGTTTGTAATGTTACAAACGCAGAGTGGTCGGGCAGACAACTATTTCATTAGACACTGCCCAGTTAAGTTTGAATATTTTTATGTCAGAACAAAGGATCACGAACTTCAAAATTTCCAGTACAATCAATTATTTTGTAAAAAAATGCATCTTTTAAAGAGGATGATGAATTTCAGTATACATTTTAGGTACACGTACACGTTGTTTCCAGTTTGATGACGTCATCAGTCAAGGGACTACTGATTTAGTTCAAGGAGGATACCTGTTTATCATTAAGTAAAAATAATGCACGGAAATATGGAAATTACAAGTGTATGTAATAATAACACCCAACTTCCGGTCTGATCCTGTAATGATTATAAAATCCTGCAAATTCATTTGTGGTTGCTCACGGAATATAAAGGCACAATTTGGCAGAATTTTGCTTGAGGGCTTTAAGATTTGAAAAGGTTAAACTCGTTTTTATGTTCCGCTGGAGGGTGTCCTTTCGGGGATGACGTCAAAACTATGTTTTTGTGTTTGGCATCCCTCACTTAACACTTTCATAATGTACTTGTCTGTTGTAAAATGCTTTTGTTTTAGTTACAATTAATTTAGGTCAAGCGGTTTTGTGCCCGGGAATACCGGAAATGAGTAAGTTGCTCAAGGCACCGTCTATAACCTCACGAAAACAATTGAACACGAAATTCTATGTAGTTTAAGAGATTTTGATCAAACTATTTTGTCAAATTGTGCCCTGAAATCGCTTGTAATTTGATACCTGATGACGTCTTGATGACAAAAAAAATTATAACATCATCGTCGTAACATGGTACAAGTTCGTCCCCAACTGGCTCCCATAGGATATAAAGCGCACGTTAGCAACTTGTGTCGTCAATTATGTCTCTGGTCTATACCCTAATGAGCTCGTTTGAATAGCTTCCCCGAGTCAACTCGGATATGGTAATCCTGGTGGAACCAACAAGAACCAGTTGAAACCAACTGACCAAACCAGTATTAACTGATAATCCTTATGCACTGTTATTTCGGTTGTGTAAAAATCAAACGGTTGTGTACTATATGAACCTAGCAACCCGTTGTGTAAACTGTTCTTTACACAACTTGTGTAAAATATTACACAACTTGTTCAATGTTTTTACACAACTAGTTGCTAGTTTCATATAGTACACAACCGAAATGACAGTGTGGAATCAACAGGAACCGGTCGAAACTAAATGAATAAACCAGTAATAACTGGTAATTCTGATGGGATCAACAGGAACCAGTTGAAAGCAACTGAATAAACCAGTAATAACTGGTGATCCTGATGGGACCAATAAGAACCATTTGAAACCAGTTAAACTTACCAGTAAGAACTGGATACATTGGAAATACAGGGAACAGGAACCAGTTGAAACCATAGCCGAACCAGTTACCTACGGGTAATTCTTACTGGATTCATGAATTCTACGTGACAGGTCTGTAAGACGAGCGTTTGACATATTTGTACAGATAGGCTAACACAATGTAAACTGTCGCGTCCATATACTCATAAAGTAAGTTACTTACATGAAGTTGACGCTGTTGTGCTCCTGAAGTAGAGATAAGCTTGCTAGTTGACGACAATCGCCGGAATGTCTATTTGGAGAAAGGACCAGACCTTTTATACTTTTTGGAGATGTAAATGGACGGTGCAGAGCTTACGAATGTGGTAACGAAGGACCGATAATTGAGAGTGGTATCAGTAGACGTTCCAGATTGGCTGAAAATTATAAGATGTGAACTCCAGTGAAAGCCCCACCCACGCTTCTTGACCAATCACAGCTGCGATTAAAGACTGACATGCGTGCACTAAAGTGCACCATGCATTTGCGTGCGTTTGACGCACGGGCTGGCACGTGCAGTGGGGCAGCGGATGGTGTCACGTGCTGTTGCCCACGTGCTCAGTGGGTGGAGCTTAATGGATTGGTTTATTGATCATGGTGACTCATCAAAAAAACCTCATGTGACTAAAAAAAACCACTTCACTTTCAGCCCATTTTACGTAGCATCTAAGTTTGGTCCAATGACGAAACAAAAGAAAAATTCGGAATCTCTTTCAATATTGCAAACTTCAATAGTTTCAGAACACGAACGATGAAGCAAAGAGTTTTAACGATGTCAGTATTATCAACAGAAGTATAGACTTTCAAAACGTATTGTTACAAACAAACAGATACCTGTTATTCATTGTTAGAAAAAGTTGTATATCAAGCAGAATCTGTTGATTTGTTGTATTTAGAAATACCTATCAAGGCATACGTACAGTCGTACACCCTTAAAAGAGTTAATTCGTCTATAAGAGACAAAGGACAAACATTCTAATTTAAAGATGACATTGTGCAATGATAAGAAACGTCTTTGCTATCACAAGAGTCGATTAAACGTCATTTCCTACAATTACTCGTATCAGCAATCTGTAATTGATCATAAAACCAGTAACTCGAAATTAATCGTTTCGACGATCATTATTTTGATATTAAAACAATATTTTACACTACAGATTCAATTGAGACAAAACAAACTTCGTTTTGTATGAATCCTTTTTTGTAACGTATCTGGCAAGTTATTTATCATGTAAACTGGGTTGTTATGGTTGTCGGCCGCTAAAAGCAGACATATCAGGACAAACAACGGAACGCAATACTTCACAAAAGTTACCATCAAAAGCGTTAAAGTGACTGCCTCAATAAGTACGTAACAATTCTGCAATGCTCGCTCTTGAACACTTTCATAATCTTATGTTTTATACTCAGTCCAATTAAAAAAAACCTATAATTTTCTCTTACAAAATGTTTGGATTCGAGTAATCACAATATGTCGCAAAAAGAATCAATGAAACAGTATACAACTAACATTCGGAGATGTAACGTATCTTGTGACAAATATAATGGCACGCCTATAAGACATAGGCCTATCTTTTTTTTTCTTTTCTTTTTTTAGCCCCCTTTCATAACCTTCTTGGACTTTTTTAAAGCCTTTTTGCAGTAGGATATCATTTCAAGTTTATTTTACTGAATTGGTCGCCTTGCTCAGAGCTTTTGAACATGACAAGTGACACTAATACGTTACCAAGCTGATCAGATACGTTACTTACCAGGTTGATCAGATACGTTGTCAGGTTGATCAGACTGCTTTATTTAAACCACCATTTTCCTTGAAAATCATGTGTTGGCGGGCTTAATTTTTTTGTAAAGTCGTAGTGCTGTACGGCCTTAAATGTTCTTGTTTTAGGTTTATATCTATACTTAACAATTTATAGGTTATGTCCTTAAAGTTGGTTAAAATTTAAACCAATTTTTCCAATGTTGCCCAACGTTGGGTATTTTTTTTTAAACAACTGTTGGACGGTTCACCTGGTAAACAACAGTTGGCTAAAATTAGTCATTCTACTAGTACCCAATGCTGGTTAAATTAACCCTTATTCAAGGCAGAATAAAGAGAAACTCTGCGTTTTTAGTCTTTTTTTTTTCATTATTAAATTCGATGGACTAAATTAAATTTTTCGATTGGCTACCACGAAAATCATGGATTTCCCCCCAAACAAATTCGTCAAAAGTCTTAGAATAGAAATGAAATTTAATTTGAGCTGTCACGGTGCTCAGTTTAAGAAGCTGTTTAAGAAAAGCAGGCCTATGGTAGTTAGGTTCTTGGAGAGTCCATGATATATATAGCACTGTATATTCGTTTGGATATCCGTCCCCTTAGTGGCGTAAGCCCGTGCCGACGACTGGGGGGGGGGGGGGAGGTGACTCCCCCCTAAAATTCTAAAACCATCCCTACGTAGCAAAATTCAAAAAGCGGTTAGCGGGAGGGAGTGGGGGCTGAACACCATTCGTCACTATATGTAGCACTGCATGATGACAGATCAGCGACATGAGTGTATGCTACTGCTGTTTATGGGCATTTTACCTCAATTACTGACTTCATGAGTATAGTTGATATTTTCCTGTCGATTTTTTTAAATTGGCTACAATTTCTTTCTGTATGTGTGTATGTATGTGTGTTTTCTTTTATTTGTTTTGTTTTTTGATATTCACCACTTATGGGGGATGATCCAATGACCAACCCTTCCCCCTCAAAATGTTGGGGAAATATATATCCCCCAGGGATTTACACCCTTGTCCGTTCCTTCGAATCACCCCGAACCCTTCCCAATCCCATCGCCATGAGCTATGAATATTTGACACTTGGGGCGCTGTTCAACTTTAAACGAAGCCGTATACAGAGCACGGATCTGATAGTACATAATATTTTAAAGGCACCTTTCCGGTGGTTTTGTCAAAATTTCAGAAAAATTAACAGTTCCAAAATTACTCAGACAATCTTGTTCCCCCACCCCCGGCTCCGCACAAGTGACCCCCCCCCCCCCCCTGTTCTTCAATCCTCTTGTCTGCACTGTTACCACCTTATAGAATGCAAGGAGAAATCCCGAGGTACCAAGGTTGAAAGAGAATCCAATGCAGTAATTAGTTCCCTTATCATTTCAGGGGAGAAACCTGCTGGTACATCATCCAAGACGCTTTGGATCCCTGGGATCTTCACTTGGCGTCGGCTATATCCATGCATGATAATCTACAAAGCCTTGTAATTATTTGACTGCATGGGTAAAGTCCTCTTTGTATTTCCTGAGGTAGAATTTGAACCATTCATTAAAAATGTTGATTGAAACAAAATGAATAGGGCGCGAGAGAAGATATTCACGTACAAAATAATGACCGAGTTAAAGAAGTTTGCCCGCGCTCTTAATTTTTTCCCTAACAAACTTTGAATTTGTTTGTTTTAATACTGTGTTGAGGAAAAACAGCTTTGTTTCCGATTTTAGGCGTCTGCACCCCTCGCAAAAGGAAGTTTTTGTTTTGCGTGTAAATGAACCCGCCCTCCAAGAGCCAAGTCATTGTCAAGCCGCAAATAATTCATATTTTTTAAAAAAATAATTCAATAATTAAACTTTGGTGGACTACCATGTCTCATTCAAAAGTGAATAACTTTCATGTCGCTATAGGTAAAAAGCATGAATATTACATTTTTTCCGGTTTCACACTCGGTTGATTTTCGCCATCGTAATAACATATTTAAACCAGAAAAATATTATTCTAAATAGTTTGTTAATGTAGCAAAAACCAATCCAACAATAGCAATTATATATACCAAGGGCTTCCCCTGAGGCGTCCCTGAAAAATTAGGCTCTTCCACTTGAGCTTTATACACCCGCCCCGCCCCCTGAATCTCCTACCTTCTCAGAACTTATGGGACTAAAAAGGAGCAGCCGCAGCGTTGGTATTGTTAAAAAAATAGTGCCCTACTTCAGGAACTGAGTCTTTTTAAGCGTACCCTATTTTCGAGTTGCAACCCCCCCCCCAAAAAGAAAAAGCAACGTAAATAAACAACGAATAATATGGATAAGTACATGCGTCGGGTGCGCGGAAGAAAGTCGTTAGGGTGAAAAACAATGGGTCAAAAGGTCAAATTCGGATTTTTTTCGGGTAATAGATAGAGCATGGAAATTTTTTTCATTTGATCTAGATTTTCTCTCAAAGGGCTACGTAATACTGATGTTATTAACAGTACAGCAAAAGTAGTTAGGACGTTTTTCTCTATTTGCTCCCGGCAAACGGTCGTTAGCGTGTAATTGTAATTAATGTAACAAAATATGTGCCAAGTGCGCTAACTTTTTTCTTCCAAAATGACCGGCCGGGCAATTTTCAAGATGGCGGCCAGCTTTTTTTTTAAATGGCCGCCACTTCAACCTCGTCCCCAGTGCTTACTTTATTTCCAACCTGGTTTCCAATAGTAAACCCTGGATAGGAAACTTTCTTCCTGTATCCTGATTCGATACCGCAATTGGCTAGTAATGGATTTTTATCGTGTACTTGGTGTTATTATTCACAACGTGCAGTACGTGTTTTCGCGATCATTTGTCCATGCCTTCTCGAAAATACTAATTTCCTTTCCAATATGGTCATATTAATATGAAATATGATACTGCATGTTGTGGCAATCGTGTTTTTGTAACTCAAGCCGTGCTCGCGCTGCGACGAATTGACTCTGTTTTTACCCCAGACACCGCATACAAAAACAAACGCTAATGTCACGCATATCCAGGCACCAGACTATTCCTCATTTGCATACGTGTTCAAAAATCTTGCACATGCAAATGATCCAATACCGGGGTGAGAGGGCAGGTAGTGATGGGCGCGTACTGTTCGACACCCTGGGGACGAGGTTGCCGCCACTTGGACTCAGGAAATGACAGCCCAGCTTTATAAGGGCTAGATGCAACAGAGAAAAGGCCAAAAAAAGAAAGAAAAAAAAGGAGGCGGCCTCCAAAAAAGAAAGCGCGCGGGACGCTAAACATTTTTTTTTATTTGCCTAACCCTATTTTCAACGTTCATATTTCCAATATAAGGACATTTTGGTGCCTTTTTTATTCTTATGCTAATGCAAATTTCCATATTCATTAGCAAAAGTGTGACATGTCAATTTTCAGGCAAAAACCTCAACGTTACAGCTATTTCAGCAGCCACATTTTCTGTGGTGATTCGTTGTTGTTTAAAATTCATTAAAGCTAATGGGCACAATTTTCTCACAAATGGTAGAAACTTCAATGTTACAGCTATTCCAGCACCAAAATTGTCAATTTGTTTTTGGACATTTTCCTCAGTAAATTTTCTGGTCTTTGGTGGTTCGTTGCT